TTTTAGGTCAAACAATTGTTGGGTCATTGGCAGTCTTGCTGATTTCTAACTTCTGCTTGGTCAACTTCTGACACCACTCACGAGTGCAAGTTGTAGCACAGTCAACTGTAGCGACCCATCTTCTTTACCTGAATTCGTGTTACCAAATTTTCTAACTCCAACGAGAAATTTTTCTTTCTATATAAAGTCTCACTATGATCCTTACTCTTGCACTGTTTTGGGCAAAAGGCAAAAGAAACAATGACCATTTTAATGAAAGTTTGCTGTGTCAAAATCAATTCATATTTTAGGAGGCACTCTAGAAAGATTAAGAGGCAAAGACACCAACCTTTCAATAGTCAGCTTCTTTATTTGGTGTGCTGGAGCTGAAAACACAAGTTGTCCAAGGACGCTAACCTTCTAAAACCTACCCTATTTGGATCTAAGCAGGTTTTCACTGGCACCCCTTCTAATCTTTTTATTCCTTCCTCCAATCTTCTAAATGAGCTAGTATTGTCTTAAGATTTCTCAGGAAAGGAATATTCATGTAAATGTGCAAGATTAGAAGGCAAATATATAGAAGTTGAATTTAAAACCTAATCTAGAGCTGAGTCAAAGATAGTCCATACAGGCTATTATAACAGACTACCATAGACTAACCAGTTTATAAACAATAGAAATTTATTTCTTACAGTTCTAGAGGCTGGGAAGTCCAAGATCAAGGTGCTAGCAAGGTAGGTTTCATTCTGAAGCCTCTTGTCTTGGCTTGCAGGTGGCCATGTGCTCACATGACCTCTTTATTGTGCATATGAGGAGAGTATGTGAGAGAGAGAAAGCTCTCTGGTGTCTCTTCTTATAAGGATACTAACCCCATTGGATCAGGGGCCCATCCTTATGGCCTCATTTTACCTTAATTATCTACTTAAATGCTCTGTTTCCAAATATAGTCACTTGTGGGTTAGGGCTTCAACACATGAACTTTAGGGGGCACAGTTCAGTCCATAGCAATGCTGTATTTTCTTATACTTCAGGAAGATGGACAGGTATTTGCAATAGGATCTTTGCTATGTACTAGTTTCATGAATGACTAGATGTGTATAGACTAGTTCACTTCATTTTAGCCCCTCAAATGGGGAAAGTAGTTAAAAACAAGGGGTTAGAAAGGAGAAGATTTAAATAATCCACCTGAAAATTTAAAAATTCTTAGAGACAAAACGAAGGAAGCTCATTAAAATCATTTTAGAAATATGTTAAATAAATTGGACAAAGATTAAAATTTTAATAAACACTAGATTTAAAAATTAGATTCCAGGAACCTTTTGAATAGTGTTCTAGGATAGAATCAACAACTGAAAATGGACTCCGATTTGAATTAGGAGCCTTAAAAAAATAGAAAACCGTGAATTTAGAAAGTAACAGATCATTTTCTTTCTTTTGTTCTTTTTTTGAGATGGAGTCTTGTTCTGTCGCTCAGGCTAGAGTGCAGTGGCACAATCTCAGCTCACTGCAACCTCTGCTTCTCAGGTTCAAACAATTCTCCTGCCTCAGCCTCCTAAGTAGCTGGGATTACAGGTGCACGTCACCATGCCTGGCTAATTTTTTTGTATTTTTAGTAGAGATGGGGTTTCACCATATTGATCAGGCTGGTCTCGAACTCCTGACCTCGTGATCTGCCTGCCATGGTCTCCCAAAGTGCTGGGATTACAGGTGTAAACCACTGCACCTGGCCCAGATCATTTTCTATCAAGTAGCTGAGCCCTAGAAAAAAAAAAAGCTAGAAATAAAAATAAATATACACCTCTATAAATGAAACAACAGGTTCCCTGAATAAAAACAAGAATTTAAGGGTCTCTGTATTCTCTAAGTATCATGAGGGTATAAATAAGGACACCTGTAGATTTTGAGAAGAAAGGCATTGGAAGAGCCAATGACCTTTACTGAGAAACATAAATAGTTCAAAATCTGTTCAACGGTGCTACTCTTGGGGAGCTATTAGCACCCCCAAATTCCCTGTCCTTTCTCTAATCTTCTCAAGAGAGTTGTCTATAAATACAGATAGACAACAATATAGTTCTTCTTTTGATATGTATGGCACTGTATCTACAATAAATCCAACTTCCATAGAACATCATCCCCTTCAGAGTCAAATTTTAAAGTTGTCTGAAAAGAACAAGGAAGGCAAATTGACTGAAACCAAGTAAAAAAGAGGAAAATGAGAAATTTGGTCTTAACCTAAAAATGTCTTATTGTGCCAGATTGTCAGAGACAAACTTGAGGTTTGCAGTAAATTGTAGAAGGCTTGAGGGCAAATAAATCTTGTCTATCTTGACTTACTAAAACCATCCAGATAGTAGAAATTTGTAACAATCCTAAGCCCTTTCCTAAATTCCAACACGGTGTCTTCATTAGATGAGTACTTTCTTTTTTCTTTAGGAAACAACCTTTAGGTATTAGCCAGAGTTCTCCAGAGAAACAGAGCCAATGTAATATAGATAGATAGATAGATAGATAGATAGATAGATAGATAGATAATTTACTTTGAGGGATTGGTTCTTGTGTTTATGGAGGCCGAGAACTCCCACCATCTGCTATCTGCAAGCTGGAGGTCCAGGAAAGGTGGTGGTATGGTTCCAGTCCAAGAAACAGGCCCTCTGATGTCTGAAGGAAGAAGATAGATGTCCCAGCTCAAGGAGAAAGCAAACTCACCCTTCCTCTACCTTTTTATCCTATTCAGGGGTTCTCAACAGATTAGACCATGCCTACCCACATCGGTGAGGGTGATTTTCTTGACTTGGCCTGCCTATTCAAATGCTAGTCTCTTCTGCTGACAGTATATGGAGTTTTGCAGAGTGTGATGTTCAGGATTCACGGAGTTTCAGTGGTGTCAGGGGCTGATGCAGTCTGTGCAAGTGTGGGTATTCACGTGAGACTGCTGAGTCATCAGAGAGGTCCGTGGAACCCTTCTTCTCAGTCCCCTCTTTTTGTTCTCATTCAGCCAAAGTTACAAGTAAGAATCATAAAAAATTATCCACCTCTTTACCACAGTTAATGATTATTCCTGAAGAAGAGGTTTCATTTGCAAAGATAGTATTTTCAGTCTGAACATTGATCAGCAGAATTTCATTCTGATTTTATCTTCGAATATTTCATTAAATCATCTGTCAGGACAGTAGCTGCACAAAAGCATTTTAAGACTCTGAACAACAGATCTCAAACAATTGTGAGATTAAAAAAATACACACACACACACACACACACACACACACACATATATATATATATGAGCTGAGCATGGTGGCTCATGCCTGTAATCCCAGCACTTTGGGAGGCCAAAGGTGGGTGGATCATGTGAGGTCAGGAGTTCAAGACCAGCCTGGCCAACACGGTGAAACCTCGTCTCTACTAGAAATACAAAACAATTAGCTGGGCATGGTGGCACAGACCTGTAATCCTAGCTACTGGGGGAGTCTGAGGCAGGAGAATCACTTGAAGCTGGGAGATGGAGGTTGCAGTGAGCTGAGACTGCAGTACTGCACTCAAGCCTGGGCAACAGAATGAGACTCCATCTCAAAAACAAAAACGAAAACGAAAACGAAAACGAAAACGAAAACAAAAACAAAAACAAAAACAAAAACAAAAACAAAAACAAAAAAAGGAATATTATTTTAAGAAGGGATTGGGTGATTTCCTAAGAAAAGAATTCTCAACAACTGCCTAAATAGCTCACCTTGCCTTTCCTTTAGCTTTGACATAGATTGGTCCAAGTCACTTATAGAATTAATCTAGATATAGCAGAAAGTATTATTAGTGATAGCCTAGACTCTCTTATTTGGCCCAAATAAAATCCAAGCTTATTCTGTTATCCATAGCTACTATTTGGGCTGAGGAATTTAAACTGGCTTTATGTACTTTGATCAAATTCACCTTGGTAGCATTAATTAAGGAATGGTTATTCTTTGGGTCTTTCTAAGAGTTGGCAAGGCAACTAATCCTTCAAGTTGACTTCAAATTGTCCATCAAATTGACTCCACAAGCAATGGCTTAGGAGAGGTGTATTATAAAATTCAGCTCTCTAATAAAGCCTAGAATTAGGCAAGAAAAGTAGTTATCACCTATATTTCCTCGTATCATCGCTTTTCATTCATTTTTAAGATAACATGAAAAAAAACATTAAATTGGGATTTTGTATTAGACTATCCAAAGATTGATTATATGGATGGATACTTTTTGAATGAAGAGAACACAAGTATAAGCTTCTCCTTCACTGGATAAGAATGACAGAAGGCTGCCAGACTGAGTGTGTTAGATAGGAATGTGGTAATATGTGAAGGAGAGTAACAAACTAGTAAACAGCAGAAAAATGTTGGGCGGTTTCTATTAAGAGTGGGGATTTGCTGTGTATGTTAACAATAGATTTAAAGGTAATCCTAGTACAAGACCAAAAGATGCTTTGACTAACTTAGTGGAGGCCTGCAACTGCTTGGATACGTGAGGCTAAGCCTTGGATACTGGATCAAAGAATAGCTAAAAATGGCAATGAGTTTTTCACATATTCCATGTCACCGAGGTAATACTTTCAAGAGCATCACTGTCCATTAAAAATATAATGTGGGCCGGGCGCGGTGGCTCATGCCTGTAATCCCAGCACTTTGGGAGGCCGAGGCGGGCGGATCACAGAGGTCAAGAGATGGAGAGACCATCCTTGGCCAACATAGTGAAACCCCGTCTCTAATAAAAATACAAAAATTAGCTGGGCGTGGTGGCGCACGCCTGTGGTCTCAGCTACTCGGGAGGCTGAGGCAGAAGAATTGCTTGAACCCAGGAGGCGGAGATTGCAGTGAGCTGAGACTGTGCCACCTGCACTCCAGCCTGGTGACAGAGCAAGACTCCGTCTCAAAAACAAACAAACAAACAAATATATATATATATAATATATATATAAAATGTGATACACATTGGTAATTTAAAGTTTTTTTTTAAAATATTAACATTTTTTAAAAGTAAAAAGAAACAGGTGAAGGTATTTTTGTAACATTTTATTTAACCCAATTTATCTAAAATATTGTCAGTTCAACATTTAACCAATGCTGAAAATTGTTGAGATATGTTACATTTATTTTTATATACCAAGTCTTCAAAATCCAGTGTGTATCTCACACTTAGAGCACAGTTCAACTTCTTAGCCCTGTGACATAGCTTATCCATTCAGGGACATGCAAGAGAATTATGATAATCTAGGAAGAATGCATCTGGACACTTACGGGGTTTGCTCAAATTAACTAGCCAAAAATACATCCAGCTTTGTCAGATATTGTGGGTGGCACATCATTCCCTCATGGTATTATCACTTTCCTATTTGATGCTACTGAAGTCACAATGGGAAGATATGCCTCTAGGGGACTTTCTGTTAGAATGACAGAAAGTGACATATTTTCTGTCTTCTCTTATGTGGCAATTTGTGGGCTAGCACCTAAGGAATTTCTGACTCTAAAGGCTAACGCTTATGTGGTCTAAAATTTATGTTAAAATGTCAGCACTGATAGTGTGCAATAAATATGTGGGTTAGTTTTAATTTCTATCTTTGGGGTTGTCAGTTGTCACAATGAGGAATACCTACTTTTTCGAGGGGAGCCAGTTTATATAACACATATTTTCCTAAGTAGTCATTCATTTTTTCAAGACTTTCAGATTTACTGGTCTAAATGAATACATAGCATTTTCTTATATTCCAATCATTATATCTGTACTTATGGCTCTGATTTAACTTTTTCTCAAAAAAGACAGGCTTTATTTAGATTACCAAAAAGAACATTTTACAAAAAAGGGAACCATAACATTACACAAAAAAGTATAGCTGTAAAATTGCAAACAAGAAAGGCAATCCTTTCTTTAGATCACCAAAAATAGTGTTTCACAGAGAAGGAACCGTTAGAAGCAAATGGATAGCGGCAAATTTTCTTTTGCCATCAATATTGATTCCCTCTAGAATACTTTGAGATTACTTTGCAGTTTTCAAGTACAAACTAAACCTTGTTGGACAGTGTTGCTCAGCTTCATCGAGAGAATGAAACCAATTTGCAAAAAAAATTTTGCCTAATGCTAACTAAGAAACAATGTGGTTCTTGCTAACTGCAATGTCTACTGAAATGGCTGTGTACACTTAGGAACTGTGAACACAGCTGGTTTTTCCTGCCATCACTGATGGCCTGCAAAGTACAAGCGTAATGGCAGAACACTTTCAGGCACCTAGAAGATAATTCTACACAGAATAACTAACAGTATGTGGACAACTCAAACAACATGGCACACCTCTATCAGAGCCCCCAGGTGAGTGTTGTGTTTGTGCTTTGGGTAAAGGCCCACCTTGTTAGTTGTTTACCTGGAACTCAGAATGCCAAGCTAGATGGAGCAGTTGTTCTTACAGAACAATCAACATTTTAATAAATTGCCTGGGGGGTTCTTCATGCTGTAATGAGCCTCACAAGCAGGGACATAAGCTGACTCTGGGAAGAAGTCATCGTGGTATTCTGCTAAAAACCTCACAAAGAGATCAAAATGCTTCAATAAAGCCTTCAGATTCTTCTCAGTAAAGGACATTTTCCCAAGAATTTCTGGAAGTTTTACCAACAGTCGCAGCAAATGTTGTGCCCCGTAAATGTAAGAGGGTGGAGGCGGCTGGTCACCTGGTGGATAATTGTCAGGCACAAGCTTCCAGGACATGACCTCATTTATTTCATTAGTTCTTCTCCCTTCAAAGCCAGCAAACACAGCACTCCCTTCCTGGCTAGGAGTCAGAGGAATGGGTGAAGATGATCTGCTATGCACAGGTGTCTTCTTTTCCAGGTGCAGGAACAGCTTGGGCATGCTGGCTGACATATCCTGCTGCCAGCGCTTGGGCTGAGGTGAGGCGCTGCTCTTAGAAAGCCCGTCACAGTTGGCGGCATGGCGTGAGGACCGCCTTAGACACTGCAATGCTTCCGGCTCTGCTTTGCGCTTTCTGGGGGTTGCTGGTTCACTGGTGGTCGACTGACTCTCTGTAGACTGAGGTGTGGATGGATTCAACAGACATGGGCTGGGAGAGGGCTTCTCCTGGCTCCGATTAGTGTTTGTGGCACTTTCCTTAATTGGAAGGAAAAACTTAGACAAAGTCACCTTTCTATACTGAGCTTGTTCATACGGATAGAGTAAAACCAACGGGAGAGTGTAATCAAAGGTTATTCTTAATCCATCCACCATCTCCTTACAAAGGTCAACATTCTTTTCTGCTGGGATAAAAGACACGTTCATGTTGGCATGTGGCATAGTGTGACGCTGAGGCGGTCTTTCACTGGCTGGAAAGGCTGCACTGACAGCAAAATGCTTCACATAGGATTCCAAAATCCCTATGATATTAGTGTGACATGGAAGTTTCACTAACCATTTCCTCCGATTAATGTAGTAACAATCATCCTCCAGCTGCTTCTTCAGAACTTCAGGGATTTCTAGAGTTATTGTTCTTTCTTCCATTTCCCTTTTTGTTTAGAGCTGCCGCTCTTCTTTCACTTCCGTCTCTTCTTCGATATCGCTTTCTTCACTTATTTCTTCATCCTTGTCTTCACGACTGTCGGAGGAACTGCTTAATGAGTTTTCACCATTTTCATCTTTTTCTCTGATGGAGAGGCCTTTTAAAAAAAAGACAAGAGTCAGCACCGGGCAACCTAAAGTGGCTGCTGCTTTCTCCCTTGCTCCTCAGGTGAGCCACAGCTTTTCTCACCAATTTACACTGTAATCTACTATTTGCTTTCCTTTTCTTTTGGGGTGTGTGTGTGTGTGTGTGTGTGTGAGTTTTGTTCTTGTTGCCAAGGCTGGAGTACAATGGAGCGGTCTCGACACACTGAAACCTCCACCTCTGGGCGTCAAGCGATTCTCCTGCCTCAGCCTTCCAAGCAGCTAGGATTACAGGCGCCTGCCACCACGCCCGGCTAATATTTTTGTGTTTTTAGTAGAGACGGGGTTTCACCATGTTGGCCAGGCCAGTCTCGAACTCCTGACCTCAAGCGATACGCCCGCCTCGGACTCCCAAAGTGCTGGGATTACAGGCCTGAGCCCCCGCGCCCAGCTCCTAATCTACGATTTTCACTGGGATCACGAAGCACATGATCTTTAGCTACACATCGATCCCAGCTTCTGTTCCAACCATTACAATAGATCAGCTAGCCTGGGATCTTTCTGCCTTTTTCACCTCTCCCAGCAATAACAGCGACAAGCTGGGTCGGATGGCGTCCGACGGCAGCGTCCCACGGAAGCCCACGAGGCACCGGGGCGCACAGAAGGAGAGAGTTAACGCGAGGAGAAAAACCCACCGTGGTCCAGAGGCCTCCTCCGTCGGCGGCGCGCATCGGCGTGAGGACGCACACGCAGCGCCGCCTACGCGTCAGGGGACGCACACGTAGCTCCGCCTACGCGTCAGGGCGCGCGCGACGCTCCCGACTGCGCATGCGCGGGTTGGCGAGCCGGAGGGAGCCCGGTGAAATTTAATGCTGTCTATTTACGTATCCCCGGTCTCTCTTTTCTTGATTATATTGTTGAACTTCATCTATTTCACTGGTCTTTTAAAGGAACTAACTTTTAGTGTTTCTTGATCTACCCTACACATTTTTGTTTTTATTTTCTTTAATTTCTTGACTTTATTCAAATTTCTTCCTTTTAACATAGGTTAATTTGTTCTAGAATCATTTCTTGAATTGAAAGCATATGAATTTACTTCCATTTGCTTTTGTTTGCTAATAAATGCTTTTAAGGCGACCTATTCTCTGAATACCAGTTTGCTATTTTCCTATTGTTTCCTTATTTGATGCAAGCATTATTTAGAAGTTTTTATTACTATTTCTACTTACAAAGATTAATATTATACCTATTTTAAAAATCCTAAGTATAATACCAAGAGATATTAAATATTAAAATAATATTTATAGCCCTAACATTTTGCCTAATGATAAATACTAGAAGCATTTTCATTTGTCAAGAAAAACATTTTATATTTAATTTTAAAATTAAATGTGCAATGCATACAAAAACCTTTTGTGGCATGCATAACATATAAAGAAAAACAATAAAATGGCACTGATGTTGGTATATGAGTTCTTACTGTTTCATACTCTTGCCAACACTTAGTACTGTATTTTTGCTAATATTCTCAGTGCAAAATTGAAGTAAAATTTGTATTTTTCTCCTTTATGATATTCATTTTTGGTGTCTTATTTAAGAAATCATTTTATATTCCATGGTTATGAAATTTATCTCTCACATTTAAACTTTTAGTCCACTGGAACTGATTTTTTTATTTGCTTTAAGGTAGAAGATCAGTTCTTTTTCATTTCCTTAACGTGGACAACAAATTGTCTCAGTAACATTTATTGAATAATTTATCCTTTCATCATTGTTCTGTAATGCCACCCCTGAACTGTATGTTTTCTATGTGTACATTGGCCTGTCTCTGGATTCTATATTGTATTTCACTGGGCTTTTTTTTTCTACCTTTGCACCCAATTACAGTGTTATAAATAACTGTCCAGCTGGGTAAGTCTTCACACCTTGTTCATTTTCCTTAGCTGTGTTATGGCTATTCTTGACCTTTGATTTTTCCATATACATTTTATTACCAGCTTGTCAGTTTTACAAAAAAACTCATTTGGCATTTTGATTAGAATTACTTTGAATCTGTAGGTCAATTGGGGATATTGGGTCTTCTAATCTGTTAACATGGAATACCTCTCCTGTAATTTAGGTCTTCTTTAATATCTTTCAAAAGATGGAATAAATTATATTTTTCTTCATAGTTTTAGTTTTAGCAGTATACATTTTATGAATTATAATTTTATCAGCTACTCACATTTTGTTGGATTTTTAGGAGTCTTTTGTAAATTATGCTCATTTAAAGTTCCATTTTTCTACTGTTGATATATGAAAATGCAGTGCAATTGACATTTTAAATTAGAATTTTTATTGAAATAATTACTGATTCACATGGGTAGTTGTAAGAAATAATTCAAGATACCACTTTCATACTTTAAATAGTTTCCCTGAAGGTAGCATTTTGCTTGTGTTGGCTTTATTTTGCTCTTCTTTTTCTAATTCTTTGAGCTAGGAATGTAAGTTATTGGTTTATAGCATTTAGTACTACAAATTTTCCTCACATAATTGCTTTAGCTGCATCCCACATATTTTGGTTATATTTTCATTTTCATTCAATTCTATGTATTTTTAAAAGTTTCCTTTTTTACTGCTTCTTTGATCCATGGCTTATTTAGAAGTATATTCTTCAATTTCTTTGTGTTTAGAGATTTTTCTTGTTGTCTTTCTGTTATGGATTTCTAGTTTGAATCTATTATCCTCAAAAGACATAGTATATATTATTTCAATACTTTTAAACTTGTTGAGGCTTGTTTTGTGGCCCAGAATACTGTCTATTTTGGTGTACATTCCATGGGTGCTTGAAAAAATGTGTATTTCCTGCTCTTTTTGGGTGGAGTGAAAGACTTCACAAGTCATTGAATGCTGTCGGTGGTATCCTTTGACTGAGATATTATTTGGCAAATAAAAATGAAGAGTTTGAATGTCTTGTCCTATATATAGTAGCAAGATGATTCTCCAAATAAAACAGAGGAAGATTCAGTTCAATATTTGCTTCTGTTGTAAAAAACATAATCAATGGCAAATTAAACAATTGAAATATCGAAATTAAAATTTCAAATATAGTTATATTTGAAAGTTAAATGAGCTCTTTCTTAATCTTTAAAAAAGTAAGATCAAAGTGAAGGGAATTACTATGGGATTAATCAAGAAGCTTACGTAATTTAAAAATAACCCTCAATGTTTCCATCTTTGTGGCAGACAGATAAGAATGGGATAAAAGATTCTGATTTGGAGCACATTATGCTAATTTAGTTATTAAAAATTACATGGTGATTGCATTCAAAGATCCGTATAATAATATGAGATCAGATCAGGTTGAGCAAATTAACCTCAGCATTAACTCACATTTCTAGGAAGAATTAGTTGAGCTACTAAACAATGACTTAGAAGCCAAAGTTAATCTAATTACAGAAACTTTTTGTTGTAGTTAAGACTTTCATATCTACTGTGTAGCTTAAGTAGCTTAGAGCATTTTTGGCTACATCTTTAGGTGGAAAGGGTTCAGAGCAGTAATTCAGTTATTCCAAAATATTGCACATACATAGAAGAACATATTTGAGACTTGGGAGACATGAAATGGAGGGATCTCATTAAGTTTTATTAATGAAAATTGTTTTAAGACATTTAATACTATTTCCAATCTGCGAACTAGAAATAATTAGAACAGTTTTATGATGAGAAGTTTTTATCATGAAAATTAAATATTGAAATAATATACTTTTGCATTACTGGTTTAAGTCCACTGTACAACTTCGAAACAACTGCTCAGTGACCTATAGCAGGACTTGTCTGTGTCCTCTTGGGTTCTGGGTTCTTTTTCCAGGTTGTTCTCTGTCCTCATCACCTATTAAAGGATATGGCTCCAAGGTCTTTCTATTACAAATACACCACATTTGGTAAGATTTCAAGTCTGTGCTGTCATTATTACTCCGTATTATGACCTAAATCACTTGCACAAATATACAACCTCCTAATATTTTCCACTTTGACACTCTATGATTTGTCTTGTCATCTTATAATTCCTTCAGTTAAAATTATTTCCCCTTTTTATTATCTTCACGTAGGTATGATCTACCATTACTAAACACTAACTTTAAATTCTTGTGTTTATTAGAACTTTAAATTTTTGGTTCTAATGTTTACTGGTACTTCAGCTCATTTTTAGATATCTTTTATACAGAATGGCTTTTAATTTTCTTTCATGAGGTTTTTATAGCAGCTGAGCTTAAATATTTACATTCATGATCATTTCAATATTGCAAGGGGGTCAGGAAAGTCTTTCCAAGAGTGACACCAAAGGCAAGAAATAGAAACAAAATATGTTAAAAATGTGAATACATAGAAATGAAACAATTCTTTATGACAAAATAAGACAAATTTAATAATAAAATGGAAAGAGTAGCTGCATTCTATATTACAACAGCTTAATAAGAAGTACGTATAAATAAGAACATGAAAACTACAAAAAGAGAAAAGGCAAAGTTTGTTAATTGGTGTTAAAAGAAAAACTTCAGCTGAATTAAATTTAATGGAGTTTAATTGAGCAATGAATGATTCAAGAATTGGGTAACTCCCAGAATCACAGCAGATTCAAAGAGACTCCAGTGCAGCCACATGATGGAAGATTTATAGACAAAAAAAGAGAAGTGAGGTATAGAAGCAACTGGGTTGGTTACAGCTCAGCATTTGCTTTATTTGAACACAGTTTGAACACTCAAAACTGTATGAGTGATTGAAGTATGGCTTCTGGGATTGGCCAAGACTCAACTATTGTTACAGGCACATATTCCTAAGTCAGGTTTTCAGTCTTATCTACCTATTAAATTAGGTTACAGTGTGTCCACAAGGACTCAAATATAGAAGTATGGAGTCCTTTTCAGGCCATATTTAGTTTGCTTTAACAGCATCAACTCAAGTGGAATACAATGGCTCGTAAGTGTATGAAATTTTCTGCACCCCAAACTAAATTAAAATCCATGAATCATCATTTGAAACCTATCAAATTAGTAACATAAACAACAATAACAAATATTAGTAAGGGTGTGAGGAAGTGAATATTTTCTTATACTTTGGTAGAGCATTAATTTGTATAATTTTCCAGAGGTCAATTTAGTGGTATGTGTGAAGATCTTTAAAACATGTCTGCTCTTTGATTTAACGAAGTCTACTTAAAATCTGTCTACAGTAATTGTGGATGTTGACGAGGATTTAACTGGAGGACCTTTAGTGAAACACTGTTGATAATATCCAATACTAGAAGAATGGCTGAGTAAATGGTAGATACTGATTTGTGTTCCATTAACAATGCTTTTGAAGAACTATATTTATTGGCATCTAAAATATATTTAATTTTTTTTGTACAAAAGGAGATTCCAAACATATGTATTACATACATGCATTTAAAAAATATACATTATGGGCTGGGCACAGTGGCTCATGTCTGTAATCCCAGGACTTTGGGAGGCTAAGGCAGGTGTATCATGAGGCCCAGAGTTCGAGCCCAGCCTGGCCAATATGGTGAAACTCTGTCTCTACTAAAAATACAAAAATTATCCTGGCATGGTGGCACGCGCCTGTACTCCCAGCCATCTGTAGGCTGAGGCAGAAGAGTTGCTTGAACCTGGGAGGCAGAGGTGCAGTGAGATTGTGCCACTGCACTCCAGCCTGAGCAACAGAGTGAGAGTCCACCTCTCTCTCTCTCTCGCTCTCTCTCTCTCTCTCTATGTGTGTATATATATA